CCAAGTTTAGTTTTGAGTAAAAAATAAAAAATAGATGAAAATAAAGAAGTTAAAAAAAAAAACATAAAACCGAGTTTTGAACATGTGTTGTAATTTTTTGCAACCTACAAAGATCAAATTTGAACTTTAAACTCAATTGTATGATTGATTTTTGCAAAAAAAAATAACGAAATTAACCATGCAACCTGTTAAATGTGCTACAATGATAACTTTAGGTTTTATTTGTGGTCAGAGCCAACAAAAAAAAAATAATATGATTTTTTCTAATTACACATGAAAATATTGTGGTTTTTATAGAATTTTCTACAATATAGTGTAAAATAATACATGCAACCAATTAATTGTCCTTTAAAGTACAAGAAATGCGTGTATGTAACATAACCCAATCCAATTGTTCTTTAAAAAAAATATCAAAAAATAGATGAATATTGGTCTCATGTTATAAGGAATATTAAATTATGTTTTTTAATATATATATATATATATATATATATATATATATATATATATATATATATATATATATAGGTTCAGGTTTATTTGAGACCATTCTAATTTTGTGAGACCGTGAGACCAAATCTAAAAATAATTTTAAAATGCAAAATAAATGGAAAAATCCAAAAATTCTTTTTTCAAATATTATTTTCGGAACTTGAATTAACTAAAAAAATATAAAAAAAAATAAAAAAAATTTTGTTTTTTTTTTTTTGAAAAAATACGTGAAATATTCTAAATAGAATATTACACTGACATATTCTAAAAAATAATTTTAAAATGCAAAATAAATGGAAAAATCTAAAAATTCTTTTTTTAAATATTATTTTCGGAAGTTGAATTAACTAAAAAAAATATAAAAAATAAAAAAAAAACTATTTTTTTTAAATACGTGAAATATTATAAATAAAATATTACACTGTACATATTCTAAAAATAATTTTAAAATGCAAAATAAATGGAAAAATCAAAAAAATTCTTTTTTTAAATATTATTTTCGGAACATGAATTAACTAAAAAAAAAAAAAAAAATGCGTCTCACGGTCTCACAAAATATAGGTGGTCTCAAATGAACCTAACCATATATATATATATATATATATATATATATATATATAATGAACAAAACATCTATTTTTTTATAAAACAAAGTTTATTTAAAAAATATAAAATGAAAAGAAACATAAGAGGGGGAGTGACCTAGGCCGGTAACACGAGCTGCTCAAAACAATTTATTTACTTTTTAATTTTTTTTTTAAGTGTTTGGTGGTGAACTTTTATGAGCCGCTCATCGGGTAGCGTTTGGGAATATATTTTTTATCGAGTCTGAATCAGTTAGATTTAAACCGTTTGATTCTATACTTAGAAGTCTCTAATTTAGTATTGACTTTGCTTTGTATCTAACTAAGTCAGACATTGATTCATTAAGATCTCACTCAATCTAAAACTATCAAACATACGCCAATCTCAATTTTTCTATTATGTGAATCTAGTCGATTGATTCTTATACGTGAAAATACTGTTATAGAATAGTAGCTAGTAAGGTTGCCCATGTTTCGCATGTGTCAGAATGATTAATGTTAGTGATGCAAAATTACAAAACATTTATAAAGTAACTATTATAAAATTATAGACCATTTTTTGACAGCGAAAGGCAGTCTCATAAAATCACAAATTTACCAAAAAATTTACAAAATCAATTTACGATGAAAAAATATCTCAAAACTATAATTTACTCTTGTTGTTGATTGCAGATCGGCACCCTGCTAAGAAATTGTCCCAACTGAGTTGACTCGGTTCGTTTTTTTCTTCATCAGTGAGCTCAAAGTTTGGTTCCCTCCCACATATGAAAGCAACCTTGCAATAAATAAATATAAACAAACCGAATATAAAATAACAAAACTACCCTTAACAATTGCTAAAATCATTGCTTACCTTGGGAACTGAGTGTGCCTAATGGATATGTTCCTTCATAAACTCCACCAATACCATAAATGTCAAAACCATCAGAAATTTTTCCTTTTGCGTCTGTTTTAAATCATGTAAAGTGTTAAACTTCTTATATAATGCTTAAAAAGATTCAATTTATACATAAAACTTTATAAAAAAAAATATAGAAAACTTGCTTGTAACAAAGATTGTCCTGTCATTGTGTCTCTTAATAAGCCTTTGTCTAAAGTGTATAAAACAAAGAGATGTGAGAATTTTAATATAATTAATAGGTAATAGGATAGTAATGAAAATACATGAATCACATTATGGTCAAAAGTCATGACAGTTAACTAATAGACATAAAAGTAAATAATAGATAAATAACAAGAGATGTACTAATTATACAATTGGTGGAGCATATAAAATTGTTTTAAGCTTGTTTTAAGCTTACTGAGGCATGCTGGTGAGATCATGAACTTTATCCAGGAACCATGAACTTTATTTACTAATTATATAACTTTAACTAGCACACTCATATCATTTTTTCTAGGAATGTATACTAATTATACAATTGGTGGAGCATATAAAATTGTTTTAAGCTTTACCAAGGCATGCCACTAGGATCATGAACTTTATCCAAGAACTAGACCAATCAGCAAAACGGAAAAATCTCGTCCTCCTCACCACTGCCAACCGCATCCTTAACCTAACCGTGAATTCCTTAATCACCTCCACCATCATAGTTGTAATAAAGAAAATCATTGGCTAGGTAACTCTTCACTCACAAGACCTTATCAAACAGTTGGAATACATAAACTATGAGTTACATTTTTTCCCAAATGAAGCTAAACCTACATAACGATAACTACAAATATAAAGAAAGGCAATCTGGATTCAAATTACCTGAGCAAGACATGGCATCGGGGTAGCTAAAACAACCGATTAGAAGTTACATATACAACGTAACATGTGAAATCAAGTTTTTGTGGACAACATTGAAATCTTAAAAAAGTATCTATTTAATCTACCAATGGAATTGCAATAGAAAACCATGATCAAAATTATCATATTACTTGCAATTAAGGATATAATAAGCATAACTTAAACATTAAAACTGAAAAAAAAAAAAAAAAATCAGGTTGTATGTTTCTAAAAGCTGCAAACAAACCCTAAAATGAAATTTTAAATGGAGAGAGTAATCAATGTTCCTAAATTGCTCTCTATTAATAATAAAAATTAATAGAATGAAGAGAAATACTTACCAGATTATAAATCGAATTGGCACCAAGGTTTTGCACGAAATTCAAGATTTGCAACTCCCATTCTAGATAAATGAAATATATGAGTAAAAAAGATATAAACTTGACACAACCATAATGCATATTCTATAAATAAAATTGGTTATCTATAACTTGCATACACATGATTCATGAAGTATACAGATCTTTATATGTGAATAATTAGTCATCTACACAATAATCATAAACTCAATAGGCGTAAGAGAAACACCATATAAAAGCAAATCAAAATTATTAACTTGTTGTAGCAAACCCTCAATCGATATGACAATATCGACTGATATATTCAGTTTACATACCTGCAATTTGAAATAAGAAGAATAATTGAGCCTAAAACCCTCTAATAGCAAGTCCCATGATAAAAACAAGCTCCAATCAACTGCCTTTTTCTTTGCCTTAAAATCATAACTATAATCCGTCATTGTTAATTGGCAATCCTTGCAATCGTGTTCTTAGGCATGACAGACGGACGCCAACTGGCCCAGATCTCTATCCACAACGAAGAATGCGTGCGATCAAACCACCACCATCGATTAATCCCAACTTTGAAAACAAAAAACCATCAAATTAGAAAATTCCAACTCAAATAACACCTAAAATTGATTTCTTAGATATAAACTGCAATATAAGTGTGAATAATCTTTTAGACCAACTTTTATACACAATTTGCAAAAAATAGTAATTCCTATAATCTACTGTGTAATTAGCCTGAGATCTCATAGGTTTGTTAATACAATAGAAAGTTGAAACCCACATACTGCTTTTCTTAATCTTTACTAGGGTGGTTCATGAGGTCTCAATGTTACCGACTTCCTTCAACTCAGTGATCAAAATTAAGGCTATAAATCGTACAAATCGAGACAAATAGTAAGGTTTAGAGAATCGAATCGAAAAACAAACCTATTGCAAGAAACATAACCGATTAGGTTGAGAATATAGCCGACGGAACATAACGTAGAAAAGAAAGTCGAATGATGATTTGAAGCTTTAGAGGATAGCAAGAATGTGAAGTTCTTGAGCCTCCAGATCCTTACCGCAACATTGTTGGTGGCTTTTCTTCTGGTTTCAATCCGTCTTCGTCATGGACCACCTGATAGAGCAACAAAATAGAAGCGATGGTAAAGATCCGGTGAGTTTAGGTTTGCAAAGAACGACAAACTGAGGGTGAAGGATCTGTTGTAAGGGGAGATTATAGAGTCGGTGAGTTCCTAATTGAGGGAGACGGTGTTGCAGTGGTGGCGATCACACGTAGCAATTGATGTCAGAGTGAATTTGAGTTGGTGGCAAAATGGTGGATGACACACTCTTGGGAGCAATAAATCGGTGGAGTAAGAGATAAAAGAAATTGATGACACGATCGATTTTTTTGGTAAATACACGTGTTAAGGCCATGTGGCAGTAAACGGTGTAAAGGAAGTGATGAGTATGTAAACCTAAAGCGGTCATGTAAATTGAAAGGTATGAAAGTGTAGGTTATAAAATGAAAGAATTTTAAAAAAAGGGCTAGAAATGTAAAGCTAAAATAAAAACCGAGGCATAAAGGTGAACAGCCAAAGGTTACGAATGTGTTTTTGAGGGGTTGGAACGTAAATAGTTTAAACATGAGGGTTTGTTCCTGGATTTTTCACCAAGACACGATGTTCCAGGATACCGCATACAAACCCTCCTAGATTCAACCCCCAGTACGAATCGCTGACGTGTACGGCTAAGATCCACCCAGCTTAGATCTGATAGGACTGTACCCCACCCCCCGCTTTTCTTTTCCTATTTATTTTTCTTCTTTCGCCTCCTTCGTTACTCTCTGCTCATCTGTTTTCTCGATTCATACTTTCCCCTGCCCGTCGTTTGATCTTGATTTTGGTTTTCATATTGATTTAAAGGCATCAGATCAACGTTTTGATTTTCGCATTTAAATCTCAGATTTTGGTATATAATTTCAAATCGCAACACATTTAGGGCTAGAAATAATTGCAAACCCTAGCCCACAAATTCGTTACGTTTTCCCTTTTCTTTCGTTGTGAAGATCCGAGAAGATTAGACCTTCCATTCTTGAATCTTTATTCTATAAACGTATTTTATAATCTTTGGAAGGTTTATAGTCACGTAAGCTGATTGATAGCCAAATCGAATCTATTGGTATTAAAAGGACAAAAATCAATGGGGAAAGATTTATTGGTATCTCTGGATGTAGATGTAGAGGAAGGTGAAATATCGGATTCTGCTTCTATTGAAGAGATCAGTGCGGATGATTTTGCTGTGAAGTCGCCGACGATTGGGACGGAGATTGCTGCTTCTAAGAATGCAGTCGATGATGATTCCAAGCAACAACAGCAGCATCAGAAAGTTTGGACGATGCAGGATCTGTTAAAGTATCAGAATAAGTATCAGATTTCTAGAAATTACGCACCTGGGTTGTATAATTTCGCCTGGGCACAGGCTGTTCAGAATAAACCTCTTGACGATTATCTAACAACCATGAATACTAGTACTACCACTGATAACTTGAAGCAGCCTTTGTTGAATGATGATGATAATAATAATATTGAGGTGAAGAAGGAAGTGATGGAAAACGATGATAAGATTGTAGTTGATATTAGCGACGATGGTGATAGTGAGAAGGAGGAAGGGGAACTGGAGGAGGGTGAAATTGATTTGGATATGGAGGTTGTGAATGCTGGTAAAGGAGGAGAAGAAGATAATGTTGAGAAGTGGATTAATATAATTCGTATTGGGTTGGAGAGTATAACTATCAATGATGCAAAGAAGTAAGTCTACGACTTCTTGATAATTAACTAAACTAAATAACTAATTTGAGTACTAAAATTTCTTGAAAGGTTGATTGAAGTTCAGTTGATTGATTAACGATGATGATTTGCTTGTAGATCATTCAGTGGAGTCTGTTCCAGACTCGAAGACTTCCTTGACAGCTTCTCAAAACTGCTTTTGGATAATTCCATGTCCAACAGAGATGATTTGGGTCGACTTGCTTTTTCTTCTATTCAGCTTGTTAATTCAGTAAGATATCATCAATAACTGTTCAATTAGTTGGAAACTGGAGTTTGTTTCAAAATACTTGATACTCTCAGTTTATTCTTCAAACACATATACAAGAGGCTAAGAAGTAGTTGATTGCAGGTTTTTTGCTCCATGAGCCAAACTCATAAGGAACAGAGTAGACACTTACTATTAAGGTCTCTATCATTTCTTTACATTCAGAATCTAACTGTTCTGATCCCTCATTGCTACATGACATGTTTTCTATACCATCGCTGATGTTTCTCTTTTACAGGGTGCTAACTAATGTGAAAAGCAACATGTCTGTTATTTTCTCCCCAGAACAATTGAAAGAGGTTGATTTGAACATTATAGATCATATATGAATTTGAGTATCTTGTAGCGATAGAATATTGATTTCCCTTTTGTTTTGTTTTGACAGATAGAGATGATGCTTGTGTCATGCAACTCAAATAATGAATCTTCAAATACCAAAGGCAATAACGAAGGAGACAACCAGGAAGTGGTTTTTCTGACTGAGGATTCTGTCTTAGATGCCATTCCTGATGTATCTTCAGATCAAAAGCTCAAACAATCTGAAACTTTGAAACCACAAACATCTACTTCCAAGAACAGAGTACTTCTACCTCTTCTTGACCTTCATAAAGATCATGATGTGGATAGTCTTCCATCACCAACACGTGAAACTACACATTCTTTACCTTTAGGCAAAGCACTCTTTGTTGGGGATGCAGAAATAAGACCAGAGTGGCCTGCACCTAGGCCTGTACCTCGTTATGAAACAGACGCCCTCAAAGCTGTTTCTACTTATCAACAAAAGTTTGGAAAAAGTTCATTTTTTTCAAATGATCTTCCAAGTCCAACCCCTTCTGAAGAAAGTGGTGATGCAGGTGGTGGTGACACTGGTGGCGAAGTTTCCAGTTTCTCAACAGTTCAGACTACAAACACTGCAACAGAACCCACCATGGAACACAGACCTAATGTCCAGTTACTTGCAAATCCTAGGAATGCTGCTCCTGTTTACTCCACATCAAGTTCTGTAATTAGGGGTCCAAATAAAACAAGGGACCCAAGACTCCGAGCATCCAATCCTGAAAGCTCTTTGGATTCCAGTAAACAACCTGCAATTGAACCACTTGATGGCCCTGCACCAAAAAGGTTAAAAAATGGAGTTGCAGATTCTGTAGTAACATCTGGTTTGCCTAGTACAACTAGCGGGATTGGAAGCTTGCATATTCCTGTGACAGGTGTCAATCCCACTTCAGCATCCTTGCAATCCATTCTCAAAGATATTGCAGTGAATCCTGCATCATGGATGAACATAATTAACATGGAACAACAGAAGCAAGTTGATCCTGCAAATTATGCGACACAATTGTCAAACCAAAATTGTTCTTCTGTTGCCTCCATGCCAACCACTACAGCTGGCGCTCAACCATTGGTGCAGGATGATTTGGGAAAAGTACGAATGAAGCCTCGTGATCCACGCCGTGCTTTGCACAGTAAATCATTACAAAAGCCAGGCAACTCGAAGCAGTTAGATCCAAAACAACTATCATCATCATCATCATCATCATCATCAATGTTATCTCAACCAGATATAACCCGTCAGTTCACAAAGAATTTGAAAAATATTGCTGATCTTGTGTCTACAACAGTGAGTGCGACTGTTCAGATACCTTCATCACAACCGGGACAAGTCCATTCAAGTTTTGTAAATATGAAAGGGCCACCTTTACAACCGGGCCGTCTCCAGAATGGGACTGGGCCCACGTCTGAAGAAGCTGGGCCGGGCCCGTCTCAACCTCTGAATGGTTGGGGAGATGTTGAGCAGTTTTTTGGAAGGTTTGATGACCAGCAACGAGCTGCTATTCAGAGGGAAAGGTCAAAGAGAATGGAAGAACAGAAAAAGATGTTTGCTGATCGAAAGCTTTGTCTCGTGTTGGATCTTGATCACACTCTTCTCAATTCGGCTAAGGTAGTTAGTTGTTCTCATTTTGTTTTACAAAAAAAAAAACACTTGTGTGTATCTGGAATTTAAATTTAAATTTTATTTCAATGGTTTGCAGTTTGCAGAAATTGAACCGATGCATGATGAGATGTTGAAAAAGAAAGAAGAGCAGGACCGTGAGAAGTCACATAGGCATCTGTTTAGATTTCCTCACATGTGTATGTGGACAAAACTACGGCCTGGTATATGGAAATTCTTAGAGAAGGCAAGTAAAAAAAAAACATTTTGTTTAGTAAAAAAACATTAAGAAGTCGAATAATATTTTTTTAATCCATTGATTTGGTGAACTTCAGGCGAGTAAGCTTTATGAGCTTCATCTTTACACAATGGGAAACAAATTATATGCTACAGAAATGGCTAAAGTGCTTGATCCGAAAGGAGTTTTGTTCAATGGGAGAGTCATCTCAAGGGGTGATGATGGTGATAGTGATGGAGATCCGAAGAGCAAGGATTTGGAAGGGGTTTTGGGTATGGAATCAGCTGTTGTAATCATAGACGATTCCATTAGAGTATGGCCTCATAACAAGCTTAACTTAATAGTTGTAGAAAGGTATAGCACCATACCATACCATACAATACAATACAACATAATACAGAGCAGACCCTTGAATTCAAAATTTATGTGTTTCTTTGCAGATACATATATTTTCCATGTAGTAGGCGACAGTTTGGGCTTCCGGGGCCTTCCCTTCTTGAGATTGATCATGATGAGAGACCCGATGAAGGGACTTTGGCATCTTCATTGTCGGTAAACACCTCTGATCCGTATGCTGTGGTGATGTCATATTTGTATTTCTTATGTTACTAAATTTCGATTGAAATGGTTGCATGCAGGTTATTGAGAAAATACATGAGAATTTTTTTAAGCAAGAATGTTTAGATGATGCTGATGTGCGGAATATATTAGCATCAGAACAGAGGAAGATATTAGGTGGGTGTCGAATTGTGTTCAGCAGGGTGTTCCCTGTGGGTGAAGCCAGTCCTCACTTGCATCCTCTGTGGCAGACAGCCGAACAGTTTGGTGCTGTCTGCACCAATCAAATAGATGAACAGGTCACCCATGTCGTTGCCAATTCTCTTGGGACTGATAAGGTACCTACCTACCTACCCTACTACATATATATATATTTTTTGTATAATGTATCTCGGGGTGTTGATCTGTGTGGTTTTTGATTGATATAATCAGGTGAATTGGGCGCTTGCTACAGGAAGACCTGTTGTGCATCCTGGCTGGTATGTTTTGTTTGTTTCTTCAAAACAAAAGAAAAGAAAAAAACTTGTTATAATAGCTGTTGAAATGAAATTAACATATAACTTGCCACAAAAACAGGGTGGAAGCATCTGCGTTGCTTTACCGGAGAGCCAGCGAGCATGATTTTGCTGTCAAACCTTGAAAATCTCCCGACATTTTACTTGATTTTTGCCTTTGGGATTGGGATTGGGTCTTAGCCTTAAAAGTTAAAAGGTGAAAACAATCACACTTAATATTAGGCAAAGAACCCACCCACATCCAACATTCACCATCAACCCCACCTAACTCCATCCCATCGACCTAAAAAAAGATTGGCTGATTTTGTAAAGGTGGAGCGCAAGAAAAAAAATATCCTATCGGGTCAGATATGAAAAGTTGACGAGAGGAGGAGCTCCAATCCCCCAACCCAACTCAAAAGTGTTTGGGATTTGGGTCAATTGGAATATAATTTAAAACCCCACTAAAACCAGGTGCACAAATAAAGAGTTTCATCATCGTTGGTTCAAACAATAATATTTGTGGAAATCGTTTTCGCTAAACACTAAATACAATACAGATACCAATCCAACTTGACAAACCAATAGATCAAAGAATAACGAATTTATTCTTGTTTTCAAGAATTATTTTTAGTTGAATATACTCTTGCACTCCAAATTATTCTTCTCCCATTCCCCAAACATACACGACTTTTATCATGACTCCCTGTAAAAGTCAAAGGCAACGAGCATTCATTCAAGTGAGGGAGTTAACAAATGAAAATTAGCTTTTGAGCCACTTGATCTATCTCCGCCTTTCTGTTTTCCAAAATAGAATACCTTTGCTTCCAACATGTAATCAAGAATGTGTTCAAAACCTTGGAGATAGCATATTACATTACCAAGTTCTAATAATCATGCCATCTCACTTCACACACATTGTAACCTTAACTCTCAACGATTCCCCCAGCACCAGAAGAAATTCACAACTGCAAAAATTATCAAGAAAACTATATTGATTGGATTATAAGAACCAATGTCTTCATTGTATGCTTGTTTAGAAGTGATTCTAATAATCATGCCGATGCTAGAGTGTAGTTAGCATGGTATTTTGTTGATCTGAAACAGCGTCAACCAATGTCCGTCTAACCTTCTTCTCAAGGTGTTTTAATAACTTCTTAGTTGACAAAGTTAAGACTGACTATCGCCAAGTGTTCTAATGCCGGAAAGGGGATCATGCTCTCTCCTAAACTTCCACATAAAGAAACCCATTTCTATCACAACTCCATTAGAACAAATGAACAATGTGCATATGTAAAATGTGTAACTCACTCATTTCACAAAAGTGTGTGTGTGTGTGTGTGTGTATATATATATATATATATATATATATATATATATATATATATATATATATATATATATATATATAATATATATATATATATTAAGAAAGTGAATAAATAAAAAATACGAATAGGATAGATAGTATTAGTGCCATACTTCTTTTAAGATAAGAGCCCAATAGAAGAGTGAGTAACCAAAAACCCAACAAAGAATTAAAGGTTCCAAGATCCGTGATAGAAAAGGCATCAATGGGGCACTTGATTGAAGTTGACTTGTTTAGGCTAGGGAGCTTTTTGCTTTTTTTATTTTTATTTTTTGCAAATTTTTTTTTCTGTTTGTGTGTTGCACAACACTTGCATACATTATGTTTTGTAGACTTTGTTTTTTAGAAGAATATAGATCAAAAAAGGTCTGTGTCATCTTTTTACCGTCGATTTGGACCATACTAGATTTCCATATATATATATATATATATATATATATATATATATATATATATATATATATATATATATATATATATATAAAAGTTCATTTGAGACCATTCTAATTTTGTGAGACCGTAAGACCAAATTTAAAAATAATTTTAAAATGCAAAATAAATGGAAAAATCCAAAAATTCTTTTTTTAAATATTATTTTTGGAACTTGAATTAACTAAAAAAAATATTAAAAAATATAAAAAAAATAAAAAAAATTCCGGTTTTTTTTGAAATATACGTGAAATTTTCTAAATAGAATATTACACTGACATATTCTAAAAAATAATTTTAAAATGCAAAATAAATGGAAAAATCTAAAAATTCTTTTTTTAAATATTATTTTCGGAACTTGAATTAACTAAAAAAAATAAAAAAAAAATTCTACTTTTTAGAAAAATACATGAAATATTCTAAATAGAATATTACACTGTACATATTCTAAAAATAATTTTAAAATGCAAAAAAATTGAAAAAATCAAAAAATTCTTTTTTTAAATATTATTTTCGGAACATGAATTAACTAAAAAAAAATAAAAAATAAATAAATAAAAAAATAAAAAAATGCGTCTCACGGTCTCACAAAATATAGGTGGTCTCAAATGAACCTAACCCTATATATATATATATATATATATATATATATATATATATATATATATATATATATATATATATATATATATATATATATATATATATGGAAGAGTTATAGGGAAACAAAAAAACCCAAAAAATTATAAAAATACATAAAAAAAAAAATACTTAAGAGATCACAAATCTTTATTTTTTGACCTTATAAATAAAAAAATTGCAACTTTTTTTACATTAAAATAAAAAAAGATTTATGATCTCTAAGTATTTTTTTCATGCATTTTTATGATTTTTAGGGTTTTTTGTTTTCCGTAGAATATATATATATATATATATATATATATATATATATATATATATATATATATATATATATATATATATATATATATATTAGGTCATGTGAGACGACTTAATTTTATGAAACCGTGAGACGCATTTTTTTATTTTATTTTATTTTTATTTATTTTTTATTTTTTTAGTTAATTCAAGTTTCGAAAATAATAATTAAAAAAAGAATTTTTGGATTTTTCTATTTATTTTGCATTTTAAAATTATTTTTTAAAATATGTACAGTGTAATATCCTATTACAATATTTCACGTATTTTTCAAAAAAAATATAATTTTTTTTTATTTTTTTTAGTTAATTCAAGTTTCAAAAATAATATTTAAAAAAAGAATTTTTAGATTTTTTCATTTATTTTGCATTTTAAAAATATTTTTTAGAATATTTTAGTGTAATGTTCTATTTGAATATTTCACGTATTTTAAAAAAAACGGGATTATTTATTTATTTATTTAGTTAATTCAAATTCCGAAAATAATAGTTAAAAAAATAATTTTTGGATTTTTCCATTTATTTTGCATTTTAAAATTATTTTTAGATTTGGTCTCACGGTTTCACAAAAATAGAATGATCTCAAATGAATCTGAATATATATATATATATATATATATATATATATATATATATATATATATATATATATATATATATATATATATATATATATATATATATATATTATATATATATACATGGAAAAGTTCAATAGAGAACCATTATTATTCAAAGAACCAATGAACCAATCCAAAACGTCGGAATTTAAAGCGATCAACGGCAAAAGGAAGGGTTGTAAATTTTTATAATGGACGCATATGTACCGGATTATAACAAAACCCATTTCCTTTTTTTCATTTAAAATTTTTTTAGGCCAAGTTTTTATCGAAAAAAATCCGAATATATCATTGTTCACGATTTTTCGTCCTCTTTCCGTAGAGATCCATGATGATATATAAAAAACGATTTTTTTTTCGAAAAAAACCCACTTAGTTTTCTTATTTTTTTTCAACATTTATGATTTTTTTTATTAAAAAAAAACTAATTATACCGAAAATATTAATTTTTTTGTACTCTATTAATAAACATCAACACCAATTAAAAAAAAAATCTCGAACAGTGTAGATTGACACTGTGAATTTAAACTGTAAATATTTTAATTTTTAACATTGACAATATGAAAAATCTCGAACAGTTCAGATCCACATTGTGAATCTGACAAAGTTTACAAAAAAAACCTCGATCCGTTCAGATTCTCACTGTGAATCTGATTTATTATTATACACACTGTAAATATGAGAAGGTTCACAATGTGAATATGAATAGGTTTACAATATGAATTTGAATAAGTTTACAATGTGAATTTGAACTGAAATATCGTTTTTTTTTTTTATTTTTTATTTTTTATTTTTTATTTTTTAAATCTTTATATTTATAAATATGCATATGAATCTATGTTTAAAAGTACAAAAAATATGAATTTTGATATATTTATTAATATTTTTCTATAAAAAATAGACCTTAACTTTTTTCATTAAAGAAAATGAAGTTGTTTTTTTTCGAAAAAAAAGTTTGTTTTTTATATATCATCATTGATCTCTATGGAAAGAGGACGAAAAATCTTGAACAACGGTATATTCGTTTTTTTTTTTGATAAAAAACATGGCCTAAAAAAATTTTAAACGAAAAAAGGTGGTGGGTTTTTTTTGTAAATGGTGGATTTTTGGTGTAATCCGGTGTGTGCGCGTTCAATGGAAAGTGTACATCTATTTTCTTGGCCGTTGGTCGTTATGATTTCCGATGCTCACGATTGGTTCCTTCGTTCCTTGGTTAATTATGGTTCTCTATTGAACCTCACCCTATATATATATATATATATATATATATATATATATATATATATAGTTGTTGGTTCTCTCTTTTAATTTAGTTCTCCATTGATCTTGCTTATATATATATATATATATATATATATATATATATATATATATATATAATATATATATATATATATATATATATATATAAGCAAGATCAATGGAGAACTAAATTAAAAAAGAGAACCAACAAACTTTTTATTTATAATGAATTTAGGTATCAAATTTCACATGTAAATGTACATACAAATATTCAAGACGAATACAAAAAAAAAAAAAAATGAAAAAAAAATCTATGTGACAGGTACATATGCATATTTTTTATTGAATATGTATATTTACACAAAAATATATGAATATACATTAAAAATTCATTTTTTTTGATTTTAGAGGATCAATTTGTGATATGGTTTTCCATAATCATTAAGATGATCATAAAACACGATACTAAAGTACTATCCCATCTTTTCAGATTGGAGAAACTTTTATCTTTCTGCCTAATTTGATTTTTCTCATTCGTTCTGCCATACATTGAAACTTTTCAAATGTTTCAGAATTATATAAACTTGTAAGCATAACCATAGTTACTTACTTTCAGTAAATCATGAGGAATAGTCTTATTGATCTTTGTGGTGGACCTGACCAGCACACACGCACTGTACCCGATCCCTAGTCCTTCACTTGACTCACATATACATGTGAACAAGGAACTAGTATTAATTTGCCAAAGACAAAAATTCTCATTCATCATACAAGACAAGTTGCATGATTCGAAGTTTCTATCCAATTGGAACTTGGGTGATGAAAATCTTTCCCCACTTGGCAAATTCTCGACACTACCACAAATGAAAGGATCAAATTCATATTGCTAACATGGAAACATACAAACATCATTTTTTTCACAAATGCCATTGTAAGGAGATATAATAAAATAAAGAACAAAATTTTATTTATTTATAAAATGTGGAAAAAACTTTTCCTTACAGTGCAATTACAAATGAAAACTATGTTACTACATATTTCTAAGCAATTTATCATAACTCTTAAGCAGCAACTCAAAAATCCGATCATCGAACCATGCGATTGAAATCCATCTTTGTGATCAGATTCAACATACTCTTCTTTTAGGCTTCCTTCTTTTTGCATGATCCTACAAAACATCAAAATGCAACCTAGTCACATCATCTATTAAGAAGCATCAATTAGGAACTTAATAGAGTTAGACAGTAGACTTACCTGAAGCAGAGTCAAACTTTTCGATTCTACCTTTTCTCAGATCTTTCAGGTTGTCAGGGAAGCTTCACAACCAATGCCCATTCTTTGGCAATAGAAACATAAAGACTCTTTGAGAATGGTACACGGGACAATCTCATTCTTATCCTTTATCTTTCCTTTGGAAAGATAAATCTTTTTTGGACTTCCAATGTTTCCATTATCAATGTCCATGGAAGTTTGGGGAGTAGATCTTCCAATCAAATTTGCTTTTCCAGTACGCCAAATCATTGTTGATTCAGCAACAACAAGCAAATAGGTAAGACCAATAAGGTCATGTCGTGGTTTGTCACATAGTAGTCCTTAATGAACCTGCTATATGACTCATGAAGTGATTGAAGAACCCAATCAACAGCCAACTTCCTCGAGATTTCGACACCCAATACTCTCAACATGTCAATATGTGACTTCATCTCCAAAACATTAGTACACACATGCCTTCCATCTTCATGTTTCA